CCCGGCCCGATGCCCAACAGCGGCGGTGTGACGCCTGGTGGCAACCCGTCGACGGTCCCGACTGGCGCCCCGACGGCTGCGCCGGGCAGTGTGACCCCCGGTAGCGGTGGCCGCGGCTACTAGATTCGCGTCCGTCGACTACGTAGCGTACATTCTTGTGTCATTGTCTTAATCATGAATATGTGTTTCTTCCACACACCGTTTTAAAGTCGGAATCAGGGGGCCTGTACAGCTAGCTACGCAAGGGACGCACTTTTTGCGGACCCTTGATCCACGGGTGCTGGGAGTTGGAGCCCACCTCTAAAATCTCCTCTAGCTACGCATTAAGGTCTTCGCTCCACTCATGCGTACAAATGATTTTAGTTCTAGCTATTCGTCCCTGGTTTGGTGAGGCCAAGCGACAGACCATGGTGGCTCTGACAGGTTGACGCCATGGTGGCTCTGACAGGTTACCATGGTGCCTCTGACAGGTTGACGCCATGAGGCTATCAAGCATTTCAAGCATTAAAAGCGCTTTATATTGCTTGGTACTGGGTGCTTGTGATTGGCGGAGACGATCATTTGCGATTGCTTCGTCAAAGAATCATGTTCCGCCACGCTGCTCGCGCCGCCGCCCGCGCGGTCACCGCCAGTCGCCCACTCTTGTCGCATGCGCCCAAGCGCGTCGATGGCACCTGCTCCATGCCCATGCGCACGACGGCGATGGGCTTTACCTCGACGACGACCGCGGGCGCACCACCAGCAGCCGACGTCTTTGACATCAAGAGCTGGACGCCGTTGATGCACGCGTCGTCGGTCGCCGAGGCCAAGGCCGCCTTGGCTAACGCATCGACTGACATCAACTTTGCGTGCCAGGTACGCATGCCGTCTTGGTTGGCACCGATGCTGACGCATGCTAGCATGGGTGGACGCCGCTGATTGTCCAGTCGTTCTTGAACCGTGACGCTGGCATCGTCGATGTGCTCTTGCAGCACAAGGCCATCAATACAAACGCTCAAAACAACGTATATCTCTCTATCTTTGCGCCAAGTCGAGCCACGTATGGCATAGATGGGGGCGACAGCGCTCATGCTCGCGTCCGAAGAGGGCCACACGGACATTGTGGCGTCGCTTCTGGCCCACGCCGACGTCGAAATCAACATGCAAGACAATGTGCGCACTCCACAGCGATCAGCGTGTGGATATGCTACGTAGGCGGGCTTTTCGGCGCTCATGTTGGCGGCGCAATCCGGGCACGCCGACGTCGTCAACGCGCTCCTCCAGCATCCGTCCATTGACGTTGGCCTTCAATCGCTGGTGCGCCAACGAGTACTAGTTGCGTGCAATGTGCTGACGCTGGATGGCGTAGGATGAAAGCACCGCGCTCAACGCGGCGTGCGAAGGCAACCACGTGGATGTTGTCCGTGCGCTGCTCGCGCACCCCGCGGTCCAGCGCCATATCGAGAGCAACAAGGTACGTCGAGCCCACGCGGCTTTACCTACAGCTGTCTGTCAGGAAGCGATCGTCTCTTGGATCTTCTCGTCGGGCGAGGATCACTTGGACGTGGTCAAGCTGCTCGTCGAGCACCCCGCCATTTACGTATTTACAATCTTTTACGTGTATCTTCGACTGATAGTGTATAGCATGGTGGCATGCCACTGCTGGTCGCAGCGACCACGGGTCAAATGGAGGTCGTCAAGCTCTTGCTGCAGCAGCCCGCGATCGACTGCAACGTCACGGACGAAGTGCGTGTGTCAATATCCAACGCACTTGAGTCGTCACATGTTGTAGCTCGGTATTTCGGCGCTCATGCTGGCTGCGGACGGAGGCCACGCCAACATTGTCGAGCGCCTTTTGCAGCACCCCGACGTGGACTGCAACATGCAAGACTGCGTACGTCTACCGCCAAAAGCCCACAACGGAGAAATTCATGCGCGTTTGTACAGCAAGGAATCACGGCGCTCATTTCAGCCACGATGAGCGGGCACGCTGATATCGTCGAGCTCCTCGCCTTGCACCCCGCGACCAACCTGGATCTCTGCGAGAAGGAGGTAGCTGCTTCCTTATTCATCTATCACGGTGCCATCACACAGTGCAGCACGGTGCGACAGCGCTCATGGTCGCTTGCCAAGAAGGCTACATCGACATTGTCGAGATCCTTGCGCCCAAGGCCGACAAAACCATCAAAAACAAGGTACGACTCCACGGCTCGACAGCAGCTCATGGCAAGTGGCGTAGGATGGATACACTGCGCGGGACTTTGCCGAGGCGTTTGGCCACGAAGACATTGTGGAGGTCCTCGAGGCGTAGTAGATACACGTGTAACATGGTACGACAGATTCAAACACGAGCGGATCCTCATTACTTGCCCGCAACCGCGAGTTCGCACGCGTTGACTTTCTTTGCAAACCGGAGGGTATTCAGGCTCTCTACACACATGCACCGTATAAGTTGCGCACGGCAGAGATATGTTGAAGTACCTTCGCGGTGCTCTTCGAGCGGCGACAGCGTGCAAATCATGAGCGTCTTGCTGTCCTTGCCCAGCGTGTTTTGTAATACATAGGTCAGCTTTGTGTCCCGGAACGGCACGTGCGACTTCTACGCTCATCGAACCCATCGTGCGCCTTTGAGGCTCACTATGATTGACGGTACCTTGCTGGCGATCGCAGAGATGACATTGCCGAGCGCAGCGAGACTCTTGTTGATGTTCTACACAAGGAACCCATCGTCTCTCATGGCGTGATATCGCAAGTCGATGATGATACCTGCGCCTCCTTGAGCATCACGGGGTCGTTGCCACTGCCCGAGCTCTTCAAACGCTCCGAGCCCTACATCAACCATGTACCGATCGTCTCAAAACTGAAAGTGATGCCAACCGCAAGATCAATGAGGTACACGGCGCCGGTGCGGACGCTGCCTGACGTCGCGTGTGTGCCCGTGAGCCGCAGCGTCGTGATACAATGGCTTCGCGACGACACGTCGTTGCGCTGGGTTTTTTTCATACTCCGGCGCGCTGTCGCCTGCTTGAGGAGCTGCATCGCATGGCGCTCGTCTTGGACGTTGACAACGTGTAGGTTGGTCACATGCACGTTGCCATCCCCATCGAGAAGCGCGCCGACCTCCTTGGTTGGCTACACATATCAATTACATCAATTTTCAGCGTCTCCAAATGAGCACAGGTATATATATGTCTACCTGGCCCGGCGGCGCCATGAGGTCTTTGATGCTTTCGTTGTAGATCTCATACATCTCGAAGGCGATTGTGTACTCCCAGCCGTGCTGCGCTTGGTGCTTGCATGTAGCAAAGATGTGGGTCATCGTGCGACCGACGATGCCGAGGTTGGCATTGTTGACGAGATGGCTCGCGCTAAAGTCTGTGAGCGCCGCTTCGTCGCCTTGCATTGTGTACGTCTTGCCCGACCTACAGGTTGTTTCGAATGGAATTGCCACTTCGAATATCAGTGTGGGTCGTCGTACCCTGTCTGGCCATAGGCAAAGATCGACACGTTGTAGCCGTCGACGGCCGACTGCACGAGCGCCGCGACTTCGGCAAACATCTCTTCTTGCGACGCCGTCCAGTCAAACACTTGGTCGAACTCGAACGGCCACTTCTTGGCGCCAGGAGTCTCCTGGCTCGTATAGCTCGTGTGCGTGCGTGCATCGGCGACAAGTACGAGCTTCTTCTTCTCCTTGTCGTAGTCGGGAAAACTGTACATCTACGCATACCATTGTCTTGCCCACTGCGTCGCGATTGCACCAACCTCGTCCAGCGGGCGTCGCAACGATCGCTCCGACGGCAACGGCGGCCGCACACGGCAGAAGACGCGGATGTTGCCCTTGAGTTCCATGACCTATCGCTGGCATGAGTATCGAAAGGACGCTGTCTACGAGCAGCGTACTTGGTTGTGTAGCGTGCGACGCACGACTTCGCTTTTACGCAGGCGATTCTCGGCCGCATCGACATGCATTTTGGCCTCTTCATGGATCTGCCGGAGCTCGTGGTCCTTGGACGTCAAGGTATCTTGCAAGACAGCGTGGGACGCCTCGAGCTCTGCGACGCGGCTTGTGAGCGCGTTCACTTCGTTTTGGTAGGCAAGCTTGGTCGCTTGGTCGGCGTCTGCAAACGCCCGCAGCTGTGCAATGATCTCGTTGGCGGCGATCAGCTTTTCCTGGAGCTCGAGAGTCTCGGGTGCCGTTTTCTTTGGGGACGACGATTTGCGCAAGTCATTGAGCTTCTCGCGGAGAAGGCTCGTCTTCTTGTTGGACTCTTCCCGCCGCTTGACTTCGTTCTGCAGGTCCGTCTTGAGCTGCCGGTTGACGATCGTCGCCCGTGCGAGCTCTTGGTCGATCTCGCTCAGACGTGCTTGCAGTTTCTCATTTTGGTCGTCGGCTCGCTTGACGCGTCTGCGGAAGAACGTGAGCTCGGCGTCCTTTTGCTTGAAGAGGCTGCGGAGGTCCGCGGGGGAGCTCAGGTACGCCTCGACGTCGACGCTCTCTTCAAAGTCGGTCATCGTCTACATTGTCCATCAGCATCATAGCTAGTCTTCGCATGAGGTTCAACCTGGACGGACTCGAGCACGTTGAGGTCGTCGATCCTTCGGCTCATCTGCGCGATCTGTTCGTTCTTGAGCTGGAGTTCGTACTCAAGATCCTCGGACGCCGTCTCGGTCGCGACGAGCTCATGCAGGAGCTTGCTCACGTAGACCTTGTAGATCTGTACCTTCTCTTCCGCCGTCTTGCTGTGGAGCAGGTCCATCTGCAGCGTAATGTCCATCTTGACGAAGTCGTCCATGTCGTCGGCCTGGCGCGACGCGCGGAGGCCACTGGCACCGAGCTCGACTTGGTTGCCTTCGCTGCTTCGGTCGTCGTCCATGGAAAGGTCGTCCATGGCCATGGCCGAGGCTTGGTTGCCGAGTGCGGCAAAGTACTTGGTCGCGGGCAGCTCGTCCGGTCGCATCTTCCCAAGCGATGTGAAAACTAATGCAAGGTGGTGTCCCGGGCGCGGTTCGAACAAAATATTTTTCCATTGCGTCAATATTTTTCTTCTCACATACAAATACAAAGTCAAACGGTGCGCTTTTTAAACCAAGATTATAAAATATCCAACAGCTCGACCATACCGTGCTTATCCGGACACTCCGTTGCGAAGCGCGCGCGCATCAAGTTCGGCCATGAGGATGAGGTCGACATCTTGAGGAGCACACAGCAATGACATAGCGGTACCTCTACGATATGAGGCTCATAGTGGTGCCCATTACATAGTGGTGGCTCATCTGGTTGCCAGGTTGGCGAGATTTCCTTAAAGTCGCCAAGTAAAGAAGCGAGGTACACTGATAACGCGTCGGTTGATCTCGTCGGTGGCGGTTCGGAATGATGAAGGTACGATGCCCTTCCAGCGGAGGTCTGCATGATACAAGTTATAGCACCAAAAGACCCACTCGGAGAGAGGTCGTTCTCGACCTCCGCTGTGCAGTACATAGCTAATTGGAAGCTGGCGATTTCCAACCGAGGATGGGGTGCACCATTGCACGCAGCCAGTCGTGTTGGTTGTCTTCCTTAACCAACTCTACTGAGTGAGTATTCCCGGTGCGTCTATCCAGAGCGATCGAATGATCTCCTTGCGTCCATCGGCCGACTGCTTGAGAAAGGACGCATGCGTCTCCTGGGGCGCGTCCATAAAGCGCCCAAGCGAGTGGGCAAAGCGAGCAATGTACGGCAGCACGTTTTCGTCCCAGAGCGCCGGGTCCCGCGCGATTTTGGTCGACTTGCTTGCGTCGGCCTTCTTCTTGAGGTGCTCGACAATCTCGCCTTCGTCCGAGTCGAGAAGGTACAGGTACGTCTGCAGCTGGTACACGTCGTATTTGGGTAGCGGCGTCATAAACTTCGTCATGCGATTCTTGACCTCAATGACGCTCTCGCCCGCGAGCCCGTCGATGCGGCCACCGACAAGCACATTACGGTAGCCGCCGTCGATGCACTCGACGCGTCCGAGGCGCTTGGACCAGAATTTGGCGTTGCGCTGCTCCACGGCCTTGGACGTTGTCGTCTCGTACGTCGTGAGAGCATGCGCTTCCTGTGCAATGCCAAACTGCGTTTGGATCGTGGATGTGAGTGCTTGTGTGAGCTCGACCTTCTCCTCGGGTGTGTACTGCGGCAGGGCCTCGACTTCTTTCTTTACTTGGACCTTGACGCGCTGAACGTCCTCCGTCGTCACGGACGGCGTGTCAAGCAGCGCTTGCACGATAGGCTCTTCTTGCACGAGCTGCTCAATACGCTCTTCGATCGTCGCGGGGATCTCAGGCGCTAGCTGGGACTCGAGCCGCTGGACAAGGGCCTTGTCGGTGCGCTTCCAAGTGGAGAGAAAGACGTCCGAGATGCACCGGTACGGGTTCACACCGCAGATGACTGGGACTTCGCTGGCATAGATGACGATCTGCTTCTCGTAGTTGGACTTGTACTGCTTGGTCGCAAACGTCGCGGCCTGGCTGCCCCGATGGAAGCCTCGTCGCCACAACGCCATGCCAACAGATTCGTACTGCCCTCACACGTGAAAAACGATTTTTATTTCTCACCACATGGTGAGAAATCATTAATATCTTGAGGATTGTATTGGTTTGGGAAAGGCCAGACATTTCTCACGTGGTGGTCGATGTGGGGTCCATGATCATGGACCGCGTTTGGCCAATCCCGTCACGCTGAGCGAGACATGGCCTGTACCTCGAGACGAACGGAGCTCCGAGTTGAGCTTAGAGGAGACTTCACCGGCTTCATTCGTGTTGATTGAGGCAACCATGCCAGTTATCCTATGCTACATCGCAAAATGCGATCTCTCGTGTCCTTTTTCGAGTCTACCCTAAGCGGAACGACGACGCACCGCCAGGGGGCGCGTGGATACGGGTCGTACTGCGGTCGGTAATGACATTGCCAGTGTTCTGCGAGACGCCCGACGCATACCGGTTCGACGAGACGCGGCCGCCCGACTCGTTACCACCGCCTTGAGCAAAGGGCGCGCTCGACTGCTGCTGCTGCTGCTGCTGGCGGTATTGCTGTTGCGGCGGCTCCTGGTAGTTTTGCGTCTGGTACTGCTGTTGCTGCTGCTGCGGTTGTTGGTACTGTTGCTGCTGTTGCTGTTGTTGCGGCGGCTGCTGGTACTGCGACTGCGATTGCTGCTGCTGATGGTGGTGATGGTGTTGGTGCTGCTGCTGGCGCGCCGGGGCCTGGCCCGCAGGCGCTTGGTTGAGCGGACTCTGGTCGGCTTCGGGGCGCTGCTGCGAGCGGATGCCACGGCGGTTGCGCTGGGCTTCGTCAAAGTTGCTCTCTTCGCCACCACCGCCAAAGATGAGCGACCCCATCTGCGAGCTGCCGCCGGGTGCTTGGTGCGAGCGTGTCGACGAGCGTTGGGCCATCTGTGTCCGTCCGAAGCAAATTCTAAACTGACATACAAGGTCACCGCACCGGCAACGCGGGATGGTGATTGGCCAAATAGATTCTTTTTGGACGAATCACAAGCCAGACGAATCCGATTGGGCGCTAAGATTACCCGCCCGAGAGGGCTGCTTCCATGCTTCTTGTCGGGCAACGGCCGAAACGGAGAAGCATGGGACGACGATGATGATGCTATGTTCCTTGGTATCATGGCCCTCTTGATGGCTGGAAGCCATAGCGGCGCATGAAGCGCCTCGACAATGCGCTTCTACTTCATGCCCTAGTGCATGCGGCGAGAAACATAGACCTTCTTCATCACGGAGGTGTAGATCGACGGACGCACTCTGGAGATAACTCGACTCGCGACCGGGCTAGCTACCGCGGCTACGACCAGGAGCCGTGCGCGGGTGCTCTAGTCGCTCGCCCAGACAATGTATGCACGCAAGTCGCCAAGTTGACACGACGGAATGAGGATTGGGATAAGAGTAGTAGAAGAAATACACCTAAAAGATGCAGTGGCGCGTTTACTGGTCCGCGTCCGTCGAGTCGGCGTTGATGTTCATGTCGAGCTCTTCGCCCGTGATGCGCTTGTACAAGCTCAAGACGTCGTCCGACGTCGTCTCAAAGTGGCTCGTCGCATCGTACGACGCGCTGATAAAGCAGTTGTCGGCCTTGCCATCGCCAATCGGCTCGAGCTGGTCCGAGACCGAGTCGAAGCGGTCGACGTACTCGCCGAGGAGCGAGACACCAAGCTCGAGTTCCGCGAGCGGGTTGGACGTCTCGACCGTCGTGCTCACAATCGCAATGTACGTGTCCTTGGCCGCGACGCAGTGCGCAAACGAGACGACGCACACGTAAATGTCGCTGCGGCGGTTGGCCTGCGCGGCCGGGATGATGATCTGGCACGACTCCGAGTTGGCCGTGTTGTTGACCGGGTGGCGCAAGATGAAGATCGAGCGCACGACTTGGCCTGTCGTGCGCGTCTTCTCGGCGGGAAAGTACGACGGGTCGCCGATGATGATCTTGCCCTTGGCGACTTCGTTGCCGCAGCGGATACCCCACGCCTTGCCGTCTTCGATCAAAACCTCGTCGACGCTGCGGTGGAGCATAAAGGTACCGCCGTGAATGGCACAGAGGCGCGAAAAGCCTTCGGGCAAACCACCGAGACCGTAAATAGGGTACAAGTACGGGCTCTTGCCGTAGCGCTCGAGCGAGTACGCGTACATCTTGATCGCACGCACGGCTTCGATCGCGGGCTGACGAAGGTACTCATCGTCGCGCATCAAGGCCATCGTGTGGCCCGTGAAGCTCTGCGTGTTGGCGTCGACACCGAACTTGGCGTAGAGGTCGCTCATCGGCTGCGTCTTGAGGTCGAGACCATCGAACGTCGACGGGTCATCTTCCTCGTAGTTGTAAATGTACATGAGCATGCTGCGGAAGCGGCGCTTCTCAAAGATGCCCATGAGCGACGACTTGAGCGCTTCTTCGCCCGTGGCGGGCACCTTGTAGATCTTGCCGCCCTTGTACACGTAGCTGCCATCGACGTTCTTGAAGTCGAGGTACCGCGTGACCTTGGTGTGCAAGAGCATCTTGACAAGCTTGCCGCAGGCCATAATAAACTTCGGGATCAAGTCGATGTTGTAGTCGCGGTTCGAGCCAAGGCCCGCGAGCGGCTCGGCGCCGTTGCGGAACTTGCCGTAGAGGTTGGTCAAGTTCAACGACGCGCAGTCGCCGCCATAGTAATCGTTCCGGTCGATGTGCAGCACCTTCTGGCCCTTGGTCGCCAAGAGGCCGCTCAAGATGCATTCCTTCAGGCCCGTGCCAAGGACGATGGCATCGTACTCGCCGTCCGCGAGCGCTTCCGTGCCCGCCGGGAGCCACGCAAAGTCGAGCGTCTTCGCTTCGTCGGCCATGTGAATCTGCGGTCCAAAGCCAAAATGACTGCGCTTGAGTATGGGCGGGACGTCCGGATACGCTACCCGTCATACCGGATACCCTGCATCAATACATACAGTACAAGAGACGATGCTCCGGTTTTAGTTTAAACATGACTGTATATCTCGTAAAACCTCTGTAATAAGATACGATGGCAAAGCACGTGGAAGGTCACTTCCGTTGTGGGGAGAACCTGGCGAGGGGAAGGGGTCCGGCAAAGGAACACGCTTGAAACGCCCAATCTTTCTGCGGGAGACATACTAGGTAAGCGAATTCGCTGCTAGATCTTGCCGCTTGGTCCATCCTCGTTCGACGACGTTGGTTGCCATCGCCGCAAAGAAGGATTGAAATGCTGACGTGGCAATCCGTGCATGCGTGACGTGATCGTTCCGTCCGCCCCAGCATCGCCAAGTGCTCCGAGTCGTAGGCTCCCACGCGGAGGCTTTTGCTCGTCGTTACGGCTGACCATTCCTGCAAACGCCGTGAGAAGAAGGCGTGGAGGAGACGACATACATGTTCTGCAGCCTTTGGCGCTAAGTGACGTAACTCCTGCATGGAGACGTCGAATGGGCAAAGGGCGAGAGAAGGCCCTTACGTACCGGTACATAAATCCAATATTGGATATGTACTCTGGGACTGCCGCAGCAATCGTCGATCGAGGCGACGTCGAACAAAGAGTGCCCACGTCGCTGAAGGAGCACGGTCTTGCGTGCGATGGGCAGCGGCTTTTCGCAGCTTACCGCCCATCTTGGTGCTGCGATGGATACGAACTCACGAGGTCGTTACGGTCTGCGATGACCTGCGCTAGCGCTGGTCACATACGGTCCTCTACTCTATACGCGCAACGCACGGAGCTCCATGGCTCCATGGCGCTTGAAACATACAAGTTGAAGTTGGTTCCAAGGGCAACTTCGCAGCATCCCGCCATTGCTTGGTCGCGCGGGGTATTGGTGCCTCGATGCATTGCGCGTACATGTAATTACTGCGGCTACAGTCGCCTACGCCGAGGTAACTCGCGCGCGTTCGCATAGCGTACTCGCAGTAGAGGCGCGCGCGTCCCCATTACACGTCGTCGTCGCCGCCTTCGTACAGTACACGCGGCAGTTGCCGCAATAAAATTGCCGCGCAAGGTGGTTGTCAAATTCTTGCCCCGAACGGAAGGATAAAAACACGCCGCTCTGCTGCATAAGCACGACCGCGGTTGTATCCGTGGACGACTGGAACCGACACCGATGCAGCAGACACGCACCTGTCCTTGATGCATCATGATACCAGTACAGTGTACAGCAAATGCAATGGCATAGCCCACCGTGTGCATTGTATTGCCACAGCTTAGTGTCACTTTTTGCAACTTGGCCATTGCAGAGCACAGGCCAACAAGCCAGATCAATCGAACGCGCGTCCGTGTTCTTCGTACGCTGGATCAGTGCGCCCATGCGGCATTCCAATCGTTGCCGTTGGCGAGCACATGGCAGAAGACCCATCAAGATCCGATAACAGTTGGGTGCATTTAGCCGGGAGTGTTGGCGCAAATTTTAATACCGCGCAGGAATGTCGCTCGTGCGTATTTTTAAAAAGAAAGCGTTGGCCAATCACACGCATGAAATCGGCCAGCCTCTCCCAAGCGGGCCAAATCCGCATACCGCGGGGAACCTCGGGCGGATTTTCGCTGTCGAGGGCCCCTGTTTTTTTCTGCCCCCAAAAAGACCTCACGCTACGGTCACTTCGATTTTTGCCTTCGTGCCAGTCAATTCAAAGAAACTATGGTACGGGGATCCACATCCTCATGCTCTCCATGCGCTCCACGGAAGCGCATGGCAGCATGACGAGCCTCGTGGCAGGACGAGATGGCTTATGTGTGTCCCTGCGTAGAGCTCGGGTGTGGGTGTCAGCGACGACGTTGTGACGGAATTCAACGACTTCAAGCTCCAGAAGGCGCCGTACAACTTCCGCTACTTCATCTACAAGATCGAGGGCGACTCGGAGATCGTCATTGAGCACCGTGGCGAACGCTCGGAGACGTACGATGACTTTGCCGCCAAGCTCAACGCTACGACGAACGAGTGCCGGTACGGCCTGATCGACCTCGACTTCACGACCAAGGACGGTCGCCCGACGTCGAAGCTCGTCTTTATCTCGTGGTCGCCCGATACGGCCCGCGTCAAGAGCAAGATGTTGTACGCCAGCTCCAAGGAAGCCATCAAGCGTGGCCTTGTCGGCGTCGGTATTTACTTGAGCGCCACGGACGCCTCGGAGTTGTCGTTCAGCTCGATCCAGGACGGCGTCTCCAAGTTCCTCTAAACTCTTGAACAATCCCTTCTTGATGCGTATTACACCATGTCATTCCTTGCTTTCGAGGTCTCGCTGCCGCAACTCCGTGTCGCCTCCTGTTATCAGAAACACAACTCTCCAGCTTCGCGAGCTTGGGGTTGGGACCTCGGCAACTCTTCCCTTTCGACCGCGTCTCTGTCCAAGTTGCATCCCACGGGACATCCAAGGAAGCCCTGGGCTCTGATGCACAACCGCCCGCGGCATTGTCCATCGCTGGCCACTTGAGCCGGGAGGGCCTTGCACGCAGCAGCAGCTGCCACGTTCATCGTCGTTTGAGGCTTCCTTGAGGTGCAAGAGATTCGAATTCCATGCTTCTATCCTCCCATAGACCATCATGCAGAAGCACCTCCGTCGCCTCCGTGAGCATGTTGCCATCGCATCGCGTAGCGTCGTTGCTCCACGCCCGAGGGCTGCTCGCCACAACCCGGCAACTGCGTCTTATCAACGCCGCATACAAAGCGCAAGGTATTCAACGTCCGCAACAATATGCAATTCTGCGGCTTAGATGGATATCACTCGCATTAAATTCGGCGCCTGCCTCTTGGCGCTTGTATCGGGGTCGAAAATTTCAATTCATTGACGTTGGGTTGCTCTTGCCGTTTGTATGGGCTCCGAAAACGCTGTGAGTCCGAGTTGGTTGAGCCATTTCCCAAGTCGGCAGCTGAGATGGCAGCCAACACGACAACGATTGCGACCGTGACGCTGCCGCCGGGGCTCTTCGGGACGCTCACGTGGCTGCATTGGGCCGAGATCGGCGTCTTCACCTTTGCGGCGCTGGCGCTGGCGGCGGTCTACACGCAGCCCAAGTTTCTCATGCGCCGGCTCCGGAACCGGTACCCGGCAGCGATCTGGTTTGCCGAGACCGACGCCGCCGTCGTCTCGCTCACGATCGACGATGCGCCGAGCAACAGCACGCCGCTGATTCTGGACGCGCTCAAGAAGAACAACGTCAAGGCCACGTTCTTCATCATCCAGTCCAACGTGGCCGGCCGCGAGCATATCCTCCAGCGCATTGTCGACGAAGGCCACGTGATTGGCAACCACTTTGTCGCGGACGAGCCCAGCATCCGCGACGAGATTGGTGTCTTTGAGCGCAAGCTTCTCCACTGCCACGAGACGCTGCTCAAGTACCAGCCGTACGTACCGCCTCTGCCTCGACGATGTGCTCATGCATAACACTTGCATAGGCGCGTGCGCTGGGCGCGCCCAGGTTCGGGCTGGTTCAACAAGGACATGGTGCAGGTCGCGGAGAAGCACGGGTACCGTTTTGCGATGGGCAGCGTGTACCCCCACGACGCCCAAGTGCGCATCTCCAAGATCAATGCGTGGCACATCAAGGCGCTGACGCGCAACGGCAGTGTCCTCATTGTGCACGATCGTCCATGGTCCGTCGCGGTCCTCGAAGAAGCCCTCCCGGTGCTCACGAAGAAGTTTACGTTCATTCCGCTCGAGCAGCTCGAGCGCGAGTACGAGTCGCCGCCGTCTGCGCCCGAGGCCGTCGCTACGGAAGCGACTGCGCTCTTGTCGGCGCCCGACCTCGAAAAGTAAGCTCGGGTGGTCGCCGTGCCCGACGTCGGTACTATAATTGGAGTCTTCTAGGAAGCGTTTGTAGAAATGTAGCTACTATCGTAATGACAGGCCAAGGCCAGAGTCGCCACGGCGCTTCATGATGGCCGCCGGCAAGTCGCCCGTCTCTGGTCGTCATCCGTGCTTTTCGCAGACTCCGCAACTTCTTTCGTTCAACATATTGACTGCATTGCTTGACGGATGCACGTGCTCTGGCGAGCGCAAGCAGCAATGCGGGTAGATGCACAAGGTGGGCTTGGCGAAACTTGATAGCTGTCGTGGGATTCAAATGGGCCTTTACCGATGTGTCAGTCTCCCATCCACTGTTCCTGTCGTCGTTCTACCATTCCGAAACAACCTGCCAAGGACCAGAAAGACTTGAGGATGGCACCGCGCCGTCCGTGATAAATCATGTTGCGAGTGAATACGGCTACTTGGCAAGCCAAGAAGGATGCAGGATTGTGTTGTTAGACGAGAAAGCTGTTGCTCTTCTGGCGCTTGGTCGCTGGTGGTTTAGTCGACGTCGTCCTACATGCTCTGCATGAGACGATGCTCATGCACGTGCGCCATTGTACCGTTCCGTTGCCGTCGCCGAGCGTTGCGTCTCGTCTGCTTCATGCGTCTGTTCTCGAATCGCCGTTGCAAAGCGCGCCAAGGTGTGCTGGAGGAGGCGGCAGAGGTTCTCGTCCGTGTAGATGGCAGCTTCGACGTTGCCAAATGCCGCGCGCAGTTGCAAGAGCCGCTGCGCCGGGTCTTCTGGCACATCGATAGCGTCGTACTCGTCCTTGGAGAAGAAGAGCCCTGGCACAGGGGACGGCACGAGGTCATTGGTGGGCAGCATCCGCGGTGCACCGATTAAGTCCGCGTCATCTTCGATGCGTTGCAGCGCAGCATCATAGAGCGCATGCGACGTCAAGTGCCACCGTGAATGGAGGTTGGCGATAGCAAACACGACTTTTTTGGTGTGTTGCAGCACCTAGACCGTGTGCACATGAGATGTGGCGTGGACAACTTGTGCATTGTACAGAGCAAATGCACGAGCAAGGGATAAAGAGCGTTTGGAACGTGGCGCAGTTGCACGTCGGGATGCCACCGTGGGCTGCGTCGTGGCGCATGACGATGTGCGTCGTTGTCGTCGTCGTCACAACGCTCAAGGCACTGCGATGCTCGGTCGTGATCGAGACATGCCACTCGTCGTCGCTGGCAAGCGTCACGCAGTGTGGTGTGCGAACTGTCGCGGCCACGTGCTGCTGCCACGTGTGCTCGACGTACTCGGGCCACTGTTTCTTGGCGCGGAGTAGCGACACCAACTCGTGCACCGGCGCGGTCACGTGGTTGTGCTCGTTGGCGACCGAGACGACCACGTAGCTTTTCGCCTTCTTGCTGTACGCAAACTTGACGGACCACGGACACATGGACCGCAGCCGTGTGTCGGACGAGTCCGACTTAATCTTGAAGTTGCAATAGAGGTTGCAGCGCCAGATCGACCCGTTGCGGCGGGCATCCTCGGGGTGCGGATGGCGTGCGTTGAAGACCTTGCCGTCCTTCATGACGTTGAAACCGCGCTCGTGCCCATACCGGCGCATCGCCTCGACAAACTTGATGGCGTCGTCAAATTTGGTGCCCTCTCGCGGAAGATCTAGCCAATTGTTGAGGTTGCACGTTGCACTTGCGCTAGTACCAGTGCCTTGGAAGGGCACGTCGTCTGCGTCACCTTCATTGGTGACGTGCAGTGTATGCGCATTGGTTTCACGCGACTGTGTCGTTCGGTTGTCCAAGCTGGACGCAATGGCCGGGCGAGTGGCGGCGTTCAATTCCGCGCGCGGTTCGACGGTTGGCTCGGGGGCTGGTATATTGTCTGCTTGCGCCTGGTCCGCTTGCATTGCGCCTGTATCACCGTCGCCATTAGTGCCAGATCCAATGACATGAAATGCCGCGTGGTGACTCGATGTTGTCGTACCCGATCCTCTCGCGGTCGCTGTTGGCTTGCGCGCGAGTCGGACGGCCATGGTTCGTCAGCCTGTCCCGACAATCGGACCATCCGCACTGTTATCCGGACCGTATGCGGATTGTCCGGCACCTCAGCCACCGAACGCACCCAAGGACGCTGTGTTTGAGGTGTCTGGATTCGACAAGCGAGCACCAAGCCACGTACCACCAAAGAATAGAGTAGACTGACAACGCGTTGATCTCTCATGTCGTCTAGTCGACGATGGTTGCGAGCTGTCAGTGGCGCAATTCGAATCGTCGGCAAACTCTTGAATGCCATTGGCCACAACTCCGAATCAACTCGATATAGATTGGTCGATATCCGACCAATGGCCTTGTGGCACCAGTGCAAGCGGCAACGGATCTTTCTCTGGTTCTGGGCATGCGCGTCGAGACGCTTGGGTACGCGATCTCGGCGATCTTCACGCTCCTCTCGGTGCTGCTCTCGGGCTGGGAGATCTGGACGCACCTCACATGCAACCCAGTCGTGAGCGTGCGCAAGTACATTCTGCGCATTCTGCTCATGGTGCCGATTTACGCCGTCACCTCGTACCTCGCGCTCGTCTTCAACCAGCACAAGCTCATTTTCGAGACGATCCGCGACTGCTACGAGGCCTTTGCACTGCACTCGTTCTACTACTTCCTCGTCGTGTACCTTGGCGGCCAATCGGTCTTGGCCAACACGCTCCGGAGCAAGAAGCAAGTGCGGCACTTGGCCGGCGTCCAATACTGCATTAAGCCATGGCCCATGGGCAACAAGTTTGTGCGCCTGACCGCGATCGGCATTTTGCAGTACATTCCGGTCAAGCTCGCCGCGTCGTTCATTACGCTCATCTCGTCGCTCCTCGGCGTGTACGGCGAAGGCGAGATGCTCAACCCGCTCCGAGCGTACGGGTACCTCTGCTTTGTGCTCACGCTCTCGCAGTCGTGGGCGCTCTACTGCCTCACGCTATTTTACCTTGGCACCTTCGACGAGCTCATTCCGATGAAGCCGCTGCCGAAATTCTTGGCGATCAAGATGATCATCTTCTTTACGTACTGGCAGAGCATGCTCATCACGCTCCTCGAGATCGTCGGCGTCATTAGCGCCGACTGGAACATTGGCTGCCCCGACTGCTGGAGCGCGAGTGCGATCGCGTCAGCACTGAGCGACTTTGTCATTTGCGTCGAGATGCTCGTGTTTGCAGTCGTGCACCATTACGCATTCGCGATCCAAGACTTTTTGAGCATGGACTGCCGGTACCAGTGCGACGAGGACCATCGCAGCGCAGTGAAAGCGCCGCTCTTGGCGCACTTTATGGACGTCATCAACGTGGCCGACGTCCGGAACGACATTACGAGCTCCCGCGGCGAAATCCTCACCAAGAAGCAGCAGCTCGCGGCCAAGTTTGACACGTACTTGCCATCGCCCCTCACGGACGAGATGCTTCTGCCCGAATAGGCACACTGAGATAGAAATATGATCATCGTACAATCAATACTACAGTAATACATCATTCGACATGCTCATGGAGAACTGCCAACCCTTGTTATGGAAGTGGGCCGCCGACATACCGGCGGTATCAACCAGTGTTTTCGCTCTTTTCCAGGGTTCAATTTTTGTCCAATCAAATGCCATCATCCGAAGTGATCAAATCACGTCGAGGCAGTTGATGAGCATCACAATCCGAGCATCACAATTCTACGACAACCACACCATGGACCTTCAGCTGGTGATGCTCGGCGTCTCGAGCGCGTTGACGCTATTTTCGTTCCTTCTCTCGAGCTGGCATGTATGGAGCCACCACACGTACTACGAGGCAGCCACGCGGCTCCGTCGTGACGTGCGGTGCATCTTGCTCTTCGTGCCCGTCTCTATTGCCACGACGTACGTGAAGCTGGCCTTTCCCACCACGAAGCTTCTCTTTGCCACGCTCCGGAATTGCTGCGAGCCCGTCGTGTTGTATGCCTTCTACGATTTTCTCGTGATCTGGCTTGGCGGTCCGTCCGTTCTCGTCGAGTCGCTTCGGGGCAAACGACAAGTGAGGCACTGGGCCGGCGTCCAATACTACCTCGAGCCGTGGCCCATGAACAGTATCTTTCTACGCTTGACCGCGGCTGGCATTTTGCAGTACATCGCCGTAAAGCTCGCCGTGACGTTCCTTATCGTCGTCTCGTCGCTCCTCGGCATCTACGGCGACGGCGAGATGTTCAACCCGCTCCGCACGTACGGCTATCTCTGCGTTGTGCTCACGCTGTCGCAGCTGTGGGTGCTCTACTGCCTCGTGCTTTTCTACCTCGCGACCGTGGACGAGCTACGTCCGATGCGGCCGCTGCCCAAGTTCCTCGCCATCACGGCCGTTCTCTTCTTCACGAGCTGGCAAGGCATGCTGCTCGAGATTGTAGCGCACAGCACCGACCGCTGGAACGCTGTAGCTTTCTCAGTGCTCAGTGTCGAGTCGTTGCTCGTTGCGATCGTCCACCTTGTCGTATATGACGTGGCAGATTTCGTGCGCATCAACAAGTGGCACTACGGCGAAGGCGGTGGGACTTGTGTAGCGAGCAACTTTGCAGCGCTGCCAGCGGCCATGGCCGCCGACGTCAAGGACGCTGCCGAGACGATGCGCAAGGACGACTTGGGCGGTACGATTCTCACAAAGAAGCAGCTCCTAGCAGCGGCGTTTGACGAGTATACGCCGACCTCGTCGCCCTTTGCCTCGCCGACCTCGAGTGGCACAGCGAATGAGACGACCTACTTGCTCTAAACGAAGCGCAATACATGTTGTCGTATAACCCGTTGCGACAAAGTGACGATACCTTGTGAAGAGCTACTGTCTATCGCTGCTGCTCGCAAACCACGAGAAGAGAGCTTCAATGCAAGTCGTCTCATATGCATTGCGACAAAGATCGCAACAAGCGTGGTTGCTGAACGCTAGGCATAGGTACCGGTAGTACTGTACTAGTAGTGCCGAGCCCAAGTCGTCGTCGTCGGTCCGTGTGAGCTGGAACCAATTAGATAGTACCGGTAGAGGGCTACAACATTGGAGCTCCGTCAATGCTTTACCGGTAATATTTCCATGCCGTCTCGAAGCGCGTGGTTGCAGTCATTCATAAAGTGCTCGAGCAGTCGATGGCCCATCCACCAACATACATTTGCAGTACACGGTGGAGCTGCTCGATAGGATACCCATCGTTGGCGGAGGCATGGCTATGTGCTATCGCTCGGTTGTCGTTCGCTCACTCACGCGGCGTCGTAATATTCTGACGGCTGCAGCTATCGGTGCCAATCTGCAGGACCTACCTCCTCGCCGCGATGGCCGCTCAGCGTGTCGTAGCGAGTCTGTCGCGCAGTTGCGGCTGCCTTCGATCCAGTCTTTCACCAGGTGATAGCCTGCGCTCCATGTCAAAAAAGGGTGCGTCGACGTTGGGCCGGCTATTTTCTTGTGCCAAAGGGTGCCTCGTTTACCTACTTTTGTCATCAAGAGCGTCAGCCAAGCCCTCTTTTAGGGCAAACTCATTGACTGCGGGCAGGCTTGGTCGCACAATCAATCACACTGGGAAGGCGAGCCCATGGAGATCCTCTCGATCGCGTTCGCCATCTCGGCCGCGCTGACGCTGCTCACGGTGCTGCTCTCGGGCTGGGAGGTGTGGACGCATCTGCTGTACAATCCGCAGGCCGGCATCCGCCGCTACGTGCTGCGCATTCTGCTCATGGTGCCGATCTACGCCGTCACCTCGTACCTCGCGCTCACGATTCCCGAGTACAAGATCTACTTTGAGACGATCCGCGACTTTTACGAGGCCTTCGCTTTGCACTCGTTCTACTACTTTATGATCGAGTTCCTCGGCGGGCAAGAGGTGCTCGCGCAGCGCCTGCGCAGCCACAAGCACGACGCGCACCACGTCATGGGCTTCCAATGGTGCTTGAACACGTGGAAGATGGGCCCGCAGTTTGTGCGCATGAACACGCTTGGCATTCTGCAGTACATCCCGTCCAAGATCTTCATCACGGTCATGACGTTCGTGAGCATCATCTTTGACTTTTACGGAGAAGGCGAGTACACGAACCCGCTCGTCGCGTACGGCTGGCTCACGCTCATTCTGACCGTCTCGCAGACGTGGGCGCTCTACTGCCTCGTGCTCTTCTACCACGGCTGCCTCGAAGAACTCGCGCCCATGAAGCCCTTCCCCAAGTTTATGGCCATCAAGATGATCATCTTCTTTACGTTCTGGCAGAGCTGCACCATCTCGGCGCTCGGCAAGTCGGGTGTCATCTCCGAGTCGTGGCACATTCGCTGCAAGAGCATCGAGTGCGACCCGATCAGTGGCATTTGCCACTATGAGGAGTGCTGGGAGACGGCCGAGATTGGCGCCGCGCTCAACAACTTTATCGTGTGCGTCGAGATGCTCCTCTTCGCCGTTGTGCACCATTATGCGTTCAAGATTGACGACTTCCTCCGCATGGAACGCGAGAAGAACAACGAGATCACGAACAACGTCAAGAACGGCCTCCTCGACAACCTCCTCGACGCGATCTCGATCACGGACGTCGCCAAAGACATCCAGTACTCCAAGATGCAGCTCCTCACCGAGAAGCAGCGCCTCGCGCTCGTGTTTGAAGAAGAAAAGAAGAAGCGCAAGGGCGGCGGCCACGGAATCGAGACGGCCGAGCGCTCGCTGCACCTCGAAGCGAGCGGGGTCAAGCAACCGCTGCTCGCGCCAACCGCTGGCGTCAAGCCGCCGGCCCGGCGACCGATGGCGCCGACCGAGACGAGGGAGGAGGCCCGCCGCCGGCTCGCGACCCAGTATGAAAAGCTGGCCCACAAAGACTCGTTCGAGTAAGCGTCTCCTCGTCGCTCTCTGCTCGCTATCTGGTCAATATACCCGTCCTTGCTCGACTCCTAGTGTGGTGTTTGCTCCTTGCAACGTCCGTTGCATCTACCGCGGTCGGAACAGAAGGTGCAGGAGCTAGCGATGCCCGTTGAAGCTTGTGTCCACGCCGAGCCTCTTGCGCTCTTTCAATAATGGAACGGTCAACATCTCCATCTCGCATACATGGCGTCTGCAGTGCTCTGAAATGACGCAATGACGCGACGGACAGGACCGATAGGGTGACACGGGGTAAATTATACGGTGTGGACGATCAATGGTGCTGGCTCGACGGCGAGGGCGGCGTCGCGTGGTGGTGGTGGTGGTGGTGCTGGCTCGTACTGGTGCTGCTACTACTACTACTGTGGCTCGAGCTGCTTTTATTCGAATTCTTTCGGTGCGGCGTCGACTTGGGCACGGGCGCTTGCGGAATGAGGTCGCCCCTCCGGAACCGCATCGTCACGGGGCGCGTCACCACCGTGAGGGCTTGGATGCACTGGTCAAACGGGAGGCCGCGGAGGTCCGTGTCGCCAAGGTGCACGAGGATGTCGCCGAGATGCACTTGCTTGAGGTGCGGTGGGCACACGACGTCGTCGGCGTTCTGGTACTCCATGCGCGAGACGAACGGCGCGTTCGTCATTGGGTGCGCCGAGAAGAGGAGCCCGAGGCGGCACTTGTCGGGCCACTCGAGCGCATACTCTTGGCGCGCCGGCGTGTGGCTCGCACTGCGCGAGCTCGTGGGGTACACGGGTTTGGCCGGTCGGAGAAAGCGGAGCACGACCGGCTTGGGCATCGTTGCGAGCATCGATAGCGTGTCATTGAGCTTCTGCTGCGGCGTAAACGGAATTCCATTGGCGCCTATCGGTAAGACACCTGTTTACACACGCTCAAAAGGAGAAGGCGTTCGTACCGAGAAGGATGTCGCCGAGCGCCATGCGCTTGGTGTTGTCGTTGTTGCCAGTGACGCGCGAGACGACGGCACGGCGCGACTCGGGGTGCGGCTTGAGCGTCACACCGAGCTCTTGGCCCGCGCTCCACGTAATCTCGTACTCGAACGAGATGCCGCCTTTACTGGAGGACTCGGGCGGGTGCGACGACGACCGCGCCACCTTGGCCACGGGGACGTCCGTCGTGGGCTCTTCTTTCGGCGGCGACGACCGGTGCGTCGACTGCGGCTGCACCGACAGCGGGTGCAAGATCGTGCCCGAGGACGAGGATGCCGGTGGTTTGTTGTCGTCCATGTCGGCCATTTCCGACTTGCGAATTGCAGCGAGGTTCATCTTTTTGAGCTCGAGCGCGGCGGCGGCGGTGGCGGCAGCAGCAGCCACAATCGCAGCGTGGGCCTTGTCCAGCGACATGGCCGTCGACGAGGAAATCGGGCCATTCAGCACCGACGACGACGGCGGCGGTGGCGACGACAGTGGTGGCGATGCCAGCGGGGGCGGTGACGAAATCGGCGCCGGCGAGTCGAGCAATTGGTGCACCGTCCGGTGGTGTTTGTCGGGTGTCGTCGCCGAAGCGGATTGCTTTTGCCGGGGCGAGTGCAAACTCGAGCGCTTCGAGCGCTCGGACGTGCCACTAATGGCATTATTGCCGGATGGCGCGTCGACGTCGGGTTCGAGGCTTGTTGTTGCTGCTGCTGTTGTTGTTGCTTGCCAAAGAAGCCCCGCGACGTGTTTTTCTCGGGCGTGATCGAATGGCGCTTCCCGCCGTCGTCCGGCTTGGGCTTGCCCATCTTGACGGCGTCCTTGAGCGCGGACGAGAGTTTGGTCGTGAACGGAATCCCGTCATGCTTGTCCTTCTTGTTCCCGTTGCTCGTGGACGGCGGCGGCGGCGGCACCGTCGTTGGCGGTGGCGACAGCTGCTTCTTGGACGCTTGGAGCTTGAGCTCGATCGCTGCCTTTTCTCGCCGAAAGCGCAGCTGGAGCGGCCGCTTGGCCTGGCGCAGTGTCTTGAGCACTTCGTGGAACTCGATGCCATCGACGCAGTCGTCGTTCACCCACACAAGCTGGTCGCCGACGCGCATGCTCGCGCTGGTCGGGGACGACGGCGTCTTGCCTTGCTTGGTCTTGGCCGTTTTGGCAACGCCGACGTCGGCAACGATCGTGCCGTACGGAGCGCACTTGAGCGTGAAGCCCAGCGGCTGCTTCTTCTCCCAGCCTTGCTCGTACTCGTCTTGTCCAATCTCGGGCCGCAGCGAGACTTGGCGCAAGTCAGGTGCGAAATACAAGGTCGCGGGCTTGATAACTTCGTGGAGCTGCTTGATGGCCGCGTTGAACGTGCCAGACGACGTGTCGTAGTTGCCAATCGAGATGAGGTAGTGACCGGGCACAATGTCCTTGACCTGCGCCGACCGGTTCTTGCCCGTGATGCGCGTCACCTGCGGGTACGGCACGTCCTTGTTGGCGACGAGACTCACGCCAAGCGGGCCTTCTTCCCAAAACACCGGGTACTTGTTGTCCATATCAATCGACGGCGCTTGGCTTTCCTTGGCCTTCTCTTCCGCCTGGAGCTCTTCGAGGCGCGCCGCAATACGCTGCGCAATCGAACTCTTCCACGCATACGCGCCCGTGCCTTTCGACGTAAGGTCCTTCTCCATGGGCGGCGCGGCCGAGTCGGACGCGCGCCGAAACGTAAGCGCAGCGGGCTTTTGCGCGACCTTGAGGAGGTCGATGACATCCCGAAAGTTCATGCGGTGCGTCTCTTGGTCGCCAATGCGCACGAGGTAGTCGCCAATCTCGACGAGGTGGATGCCGAGCATTGAGCTCTTGCCCGTGAGCTTGGTCACGGCGGGGAGGAAGAGCGATGTCATCTTGAGCCGAAGACCAAGGAGGCCCTCTTCCCAAATGAGTTTGTACATGGCGCCAGTGGCTTGCGACAGCGTCGCGGCGCTGTGGTCGATCGAGACGCGGCGCATCGAGAGCGGGTCGCCACTCGACACTGGCAGTTCGTACTCGTCGTCCGGGTTCTCAAAGTAGTTTTCGACCTCGATCGCCGGCGTGTCGGTGAGCGAGCCAAACTCAAAGTTGAGGTCGCTCATGACCGAGTCAAGCGTGACCGAGTCGAACGAGTCGCGCGCCTCGTCGTAGAGGTCGTCGCCATGGCTTGCTCCGTCGTCGTCGTCATGGTCGTCGCGGTCGTCGTTGCCAAAGATGTCGCTGTCGCTGTCGTTGAAGATGTCGTCGCTCATGCCCGAGAAGCGCTCCGACATCGGCGACCGATTGACGTCGTCGTTGTCGCTGTCGTCGAGGTCGTTGAGGTCGTCTTCCGGGATGTGGATCGTGTTGCGCTCGATCTCTTGCTCGTCGTACTCGAGGTCGTCGCTGAGCCGCTCGACGTCGTCGGCGTCGCCGCCCGGCACGTCGAACTGGAGGCTGAAGTTCTCGAGGTCGGGCCCGCCGGACCCGAGGAGCGCGTCCATGTCGTACACGCCGCCCATGTATCGCGACATGCTAAAGTCGTCCTCTTCCGTCCTGGTGGCTGATTCGGCTGTCTTACAAGCGCCGAGCGTAACCTATCCCGCGATTTCATTGGCCAAAATTCGCGTTTCCGCTCGGCAACACAAAAAACACTTCTCCGCAGGTCGGGGCTAAACGCACGCCACCACGCTGCCAGGCCCCCACGGTCCGTCTTGGGCCCTCTTCGCACGCGTGCTCCCACGGTCTTACGGAAGCGGCGGCGCGGCTGGGCCAAGCGCCGGCAAGCAATTCTTGGCGCGGCAACGGCAATGTCACGTATCCGCCGTACAATTGTAGCGCTGCCAGCTGCGGTGTGGGAACGCTGGACACAAAAGCTCGAGTGGCGCGGGTGCAAGATTCGAGCGCATCAGGATAGCATCGGCAGAGGTGGACGCGTAAGACGGACGACGACGCCTGTTGGTCGCGCCAGCGTATGCGCACTGGCTACTGCGACGTAGGCAGTCGCTGCCTTTCTGCTGCGCTACGATCTTATAGTGCGTCCACGCAGTAGGTCGGACAGAAGAGTCGTGGTCCATGATAAACTTGCTAGTCTATTAACACGGCAGACACCGCTATGTCGATCACGCTCGCTTTACGCTGGCAGCGTCCCATCGTCGCCGTCGCATGGGCGCAACGTGCTGTCCATTTCGTTCCAAAAATGCGTCCCCACGAACGCACTCGACGAGATGCAGCCGCCTATTCGACACGATGCAGGCCTTTCTGCAGAGGCTTTTGAGAAAGGACGCACCGACGGGCTGACCGGGAAAGCACTCGCACGTGCCGCCGAGCGACTTGGGGAGCTGGTCCGCGTCAATGTGCGTGTGCAGTGTCGGCTTGAAGTTTTTGCCCAAAATGGAAATTTTCTTGCGCGAATTCTCGTTGAGGAACACCTCGATGAGCTTCCACGTGCCGTAAAAGAAGAGCGGCGCGTTCACGATGAAGACACGGTTGAGCGTCTCGGGGTAATGATCTAGTTTTACGTCCGCGTTGACATATACACACCGATCAATTTACCTTGGTTGATGACGGCCACCTCCTTGACAAATTGAAACACCACTTTTTTGAGCGTGTGCATGCCAATGCCCGCGAGGTCATAAATGATGGTGGACTTGACCATGGTCTTCCCGACGCGCTTGGCCTATTTGGAGCGTTCGACGATGGAGGTATGATTGCGATACGTCGTACGGCGTTGGGGAAGGTGTAGTGCATTTGAAACTCGCATTTCTGAATGTGCGCGTTGAGAACGTCGTCGAATTTGCACGTCTTGGCCATCGCGTCCGTGTCGAGGCCCCCAATGTCCTCGATGAGGAGTACGTTGCCTTCCTTATCGACGCCGTGGCAGCCTTGCGGCTACAGTAACGTGAATCTTCCTCCCATATACGACGCAAAGACCTACGAGGTAGCGGCGGATGACGTCGGCCTTGGCCTTAGGCACCATGAATTGCTTCGCGAGGCGCCCGATGTTGTTCTCTTCGCGCCAGCGCATGCTGTCTCGAATCATCTTGAGCGACTCGGCCTGGGTCGGGCGCGCCGCCAAGTACCGCGTGAGCGTATCATCCAGGTTGCCCATTGGCACGAGACCCGCGGTTTCCATGCGCTCGAGCGGAAACTCGGCCAGCACCGAGGCCTTGAAGGATGCGAGGTCTGCTGCCATGCTTCTGCGTTTCGAATTGTGCGGCACAGAAGGAGACGGAGTGAATCGAATGCGCCATCTTGATGCGTCCGTTGGCGTCAAAATACCACCCGAAACGGCAACGGCCAAGTGGTGGGTCTCCCGTTGCACGTTTGGCGTCTTCCGACGTGCTATCGTAGGAAGCGGGGTAGTAGGTAGTACACTGCTTCCATGTGTGCACAAGAAGACAATATTCGGCCCCATCCGCTGTGCCTGTCGAATAGGACAAGTGTCGTACGGATGCCATAACCTTAGAGTTGGAAGCTCGTGTCGCTCTGTGACATGTGTCCTTTGAGTTTGATTAGTGGCCTCTGAATGTCATGTTCCCCTGCGACGCAGCCTTGGTGTCGGGTGTCGGTGATAGCTGCACAGTGCAGTGCTCGTCGATGCACCAATGAATTCGACACGGGCGGTTACTTGCCGAGCACGCCAGCAGGGACATATAGATGCTTCATTAAGGACCAAGCCTTACGGCTCCAGTGCGAGGTACTTGTCTCGGCTGTAAATGGCGTCGGGGCACCGGGCAAACATGAGACGCCGGAGCTTCTCAAACTCGACGTCTTCGGTGCTACTGCCGACAACGTGGTCCCACGCGGCCGCTTCGTCTTCGAGGGTGTACCCTCGGTCCTTCGTAAAGAGGTTCGAGTGCCAAAAGAGCACGCGCAACGTGCACGTCGTCGGCGATGTCCGATCAAGAACGTACCTACAAAGCGAGCGTTGGACCATTTGTTGAGCTATAATATACCTGCATACCAGAAGGTGCGGTGGTGCCACATGTGGTTGTGGTCGATGCGATCGTCGTCCTGGACGCTGCCGCCGACAAAGACGACGCGGTCAAGGGTTCGAAACTCGCGGCTGAGAAACATGTCTGTCTCGCCGTCGTCTTCCTTGGCGCCGCAGCGGTACAAGAGCGTTGGGTCGACTTGTGCTAGGAGCTACGCAATTCTAGCATTACTCTATACCTCTTGGCAAGGAAAATACCTCGCGATCGACGAGCGAGTAAAAGTCGGGGAGGCTATCGCCTCGAAAGAGCGAACGGATCCGACCGGAGAGCGCAGCGTCGGCCGCCTCAAGCGACAGTGGCAGCTCCCGCTGGATGCGCCAGTAGAGGTTAAACGTATCGTCGTGGAGGACTTGGACGTTAAAGTCCACAATGGGCCGGGACGACGCGCCCGGAAAGCCATAATGCGAGAGCATGCGGTCCGTGTTGTGGTACCACTGCGTCGTGATCCAGTCGACGCCCAGCTTGCGCGCATTCTCATCTGCCAGCAGCGTCACGCGCGGAATCGACGACGTCCGGGGCACACCCTACGCGCTACTATGAGCGACGGGGCGCCGATGATGGCTCGGAGGACCGAGATAGCGGACGCGGTCACCCAGCGCGAGATGGCTTGCGCGAGCCGGGCGCGACGCGCGTGTATCGCGCGGAGGCGCAAGTTCTCTCGCGACGCGTCCTTGGTGGCGGCGGCAAAGACGGCGGCCACGTGCGACCACGCGAGCGCCGGCGGAATCGCGAGCACAGCCGATAGCTCGTCGATCTCGGCCTCTAGCTGCGCACGGTCGGCCTGGTAGCGCGCCCGGAACTTGCGCTGCTTGAGACGGTTCTTGAGGCGGTAGTCAGCCCGCGGGTCGTCCTCGAGCACGGTCGGCGCGAGGCTTTCATCCTCATTCGGGTTTGTGTCTTGAACCATGATGGGCGTAATGGAGATTGACCGCCTCTGATTGGCCACGATTGCTTGGATTGTTCCGGATTGGTCCATTGTGGATGCCAAATGCCACACATGAGCTTAGTCGATGACGGCCAACTAACTAGAGACAGGCGACATTCAGTGCAGGAGCGACGAAATCTTTTTGCTCAGATGCTCAAGTACTGTACAAAGTAACCATCGTGGCGGCCGTTCTAGTGCAGTGGCAGGGTGGTGCCATGCTGATGGCGATCGATCATTCGTGTAGCATTATTCCTCGCGCACGGTAGAGAGACCTTGGCAACGGTATAGGTAAACTGTTGCAGCTATAAAACCCGTTCGGATCAATATCTGCCAGAGGTGCAATCGAGCCATAGGCGTCTGAGCTGTCTGGGCGCCTATTCTGGCGTCGGAGGACTCGAACGTCGTTGGCCCGCGTAGTAGTAGATAAACTCACCTGGAAAGCAACGGCGGTGTACCGGGAAGCAACAGAGAGACTTTTACGTCAATGTGTTCCATTGTCGCGCTGCGAGGGCTTTGTGCAGTGTGTGGCAGTAGATGCCTTATACAGTGGTTGAGCACTGGATATTTGACCTGCACAGCACTACAGCCGCTAGGTACACGGCGATGAGTTTGTATCAATCTATCTGTAAGATAGGCCTACCGAGAAACCGTTAGGATGGGACTGCACAGGAGCCTATGGCCAGGGCTCCAGTAGTCAGTTAGCCTATCTAGTTCCCTATTTGCCTCTTAGTACACACGCTGGTGTTTGGAAGTACGGCCTCCCTTTGTCTGGCGTTTGGAGGCGGAATCAGTCACACAGTGACACGATGGATGACAAAATTGTGCACTCTTTCACTCGAACGTATACCAATTACTAGTACTACTTGGTCAAGTTGCGGGCAACAAGGACCATGCAGAGCAGCGCGAGCAGCATGAGGCCCCAATTGAGTCCGAGCTGGAGCATCAAGCCCGATCCGGCAACATCGACTTTCCACGAGATGGCACCGCCCGCGCTCTGAAAGGCCTTGTAAAGCCCCACGATGCGCGCGAGCTCGGACGCGTCGTTGGTGAGCGCCCCAATCATCCAGTAGACATAGGTCTGGAAGGTCGCGTCGAGGAAGCCGTAGAGAAGGTAGACGACCATCGGAAACGCGGCTTTGGCGTCGGTAAAGTCGATCAGTTCTTGCGTCGACGTCCGCGTATACGTCGACTGGAGGCCCGCGCCGAGCGCCCACGTCAACACGCAGAGCGCCGTGAGCACAAACAAGCCCACGCGGGCTCGTTTCGCGCGCGACCAATCGTCGACGTCGAGGAGTTTGGTGCCAAAGACGAAGGCGCCGAGCATCTCCATGGCCCAGTAGAGAGCGTTGTTGAGGCCCCGTGTGCGAAGCGTGAAGAGCTTTCCGTTGACGTTGTTGAACTGGTAGGCGTAAAAGAAATTCGAGTAAAACGCCGCGGGGAGCAAGCAGAGCACGCGGGGATCGCGGAGCGCCGTCCAGAGACCGCGGAGCTCGATGAGCGGCGACGTTGCACTCGTGGGGTACTCCACGAGCGAGTGGTCCGAGCGCACGACGCGGTGTGGGCGACGCAGCAAAAGCGCCAGCAGCGCCCCGAGCACCATGATGGCCATAAAACCAATGTACGTGGCATCGTTCACGGTCGATGCGGCCGAGTGGAAGTTGCAGCCGAACGGGATAAAGCCGCCGAGGACGCCGCCGAGGTTGAAGACAATCCAGAACGTCGAGATGAACGTGCCTTTTTCGTGCTCACTTGGGTACGCCAGCATCATGGCGCCTTGCGCTGTCCAGAGCAAGGACGCGCCAACGCCGAGGAGGCCGCCGGCAATAACGACGAGGGTCGACGAGCCATGGATGTTGTAGTGGAGGAGCGACCCAGCATAGACTGCGTACGTGAGACCGCCGAGGAGCACGCAAGGTTTCGGTCCGAGGAGGTTGTGCATCGAGCCCGCGAGAAACGAGAAGAGTGCAAAGCACGCGTAGAGCGCAACGTTGGCGTTGGATGCTACCGACGTGTCGAGCTGGCCACCGCCGCCGAGGCCGTTGAGCGCGTTAAACATACCGGGGCACGCAAAGCAGATGATCCCGAGCAGCACGATCTCGCGAAAGGCCGTGGCCCGGGGCGGCGGCGCCTCTCGTTCGAACGGCGTGTGTTTGGGACTCTCGCTCATCTACCCGTATTGGTACTTCGCTTGTGTCTGTGATCGGCAATGGACGACGAGGAGGCTTTGCCTGCGACAGACTGAACGTTACAGGTCCGAGCATGAACAGCTGGTTGACGTAACCCACTTCTCAGTGGCCGTCGATTCCGCGGCCATGGTGCCGGCACCCTCTACTCTTTTTACAGCGCAGAAATCACTATTAGCTCCACTCCAACTATGGTATCAAATCTCTGGATTCACGCTCTCACTCGACGTTCGACGCGAGGGCGATGACCTCGTCTATCGGCGGCCATCCATCACGAGTCGGGCCTCCAAAAGCCGTGCCTCAAGAGTTGTCTCGTCCCACTCGTCGTTTTGACATGTAGTGCCAAGCGAATTAGCGACTAAATCGTCCGTTGTCGCGTTTCCACAGGGCACACTACTGCGAAGCCATTTGACGTGGTGCCGAATCGGGTTGTTTTACGCGTTTTATTTATGCAGTCACTGAGGCGCGGTCGCTACGCGCTTGACGCTTGGTTTGGCGGGTGCTCGGCGGACGGCGGGATCGGACCGTCAAAGATTCGCTTGTACAAGTTGTACAAGAGGAGCACTAGACGCAAGTTCAATTCCAGTTGTCTGCTTCCATTCCGCGCATACCTTTGCTCTTGCCGTTTGTGTCGTTCATGGGCACGCGGTCGCCAAAGAGCTCTAGGCCGAGGATATCAGACCAAGCGAGCGATGCTTGCGCGACGTACTGCGTTCGTCAATGAGCTCGTGCAGGCCGTTGCCATGTCCACAGACGCACGGCATGGTGTTTTCGACGTGCTTGTTGGGGCGATCGCGCGACCGTAGATGCCGTGCGGGTGGCGCACTCTCTGGTGCTGGCATCTACGCGTGTGTGCTGAGTTGCCCGCGTCTCGTAACCAAGACGCCACGTACCCGGGAGAGCTTGTAGAGACTGCAACGGCCATCACGACAGACGGTGCACTTGCCGCGAAGGTCGTTGTCGCCGTCTCGGCGAAAGATGACTTGGCCCAGGACGTCTAAGGATGGCAATATAGATCGTGCCACGCGTGGCGCTGTGGGTTACCGTAGGGCACACCGCGGAACGAGTGGTGCTCTAAAATCCGGTCGACGTTGTGGCGTGTGTACGCTGCACAGAGGTTGAGGAGCGATGGCGGCGAGAGCGGCCCGACGTGGATCGAGTAGAGGTCGTGGAGGCGATCTGTGCCGTCGTAGCCGCCGAGAAGGTACATGCGGTTGGTCACGACGACCGCTCGATGGAACGTGCGGCTGCTGGGCACATACCCGCTTGTGTACACTTCGCTCCACGTGTTGGTCACTAGGCACTCCATAAGTCTTTGCTACAATGGACACATGTAGCGTACCGAGGTCGAGGCGCTGGAGGTCGTTGAAGCGCGAGTGGGCCTTGTCGACGCCGCCAAAGACAAACATACTGTCTTCGTAGATGACGGCCGTGTGGCGGTACCGGTGCGGCGGGCTCTTGCCCGTTGTCTTCATGACAGCCCAGACGCCTGTCTCGAGATGGTACTCGTACAGATCGTCCAGCGTATCGCGGCCGTCCCAGCCGCCAAAGATGACGAGCCGCTTTGACGCCTCGTGCACCGCGCCCGAGTGACCGAACCGACCGGACGGAATTTGCCCCGTCGCGTCCATCTTGCGCCAGCGCTTCTCGAGGAGCTCGTAGCGGTACATGTTGTTGAAGCGGCTCGACCCATTGTAGCCGCCGAAGATATAAATATTCGACGCGTGCAGCACCATGATGTGGTCCGTGCGCGACTCGGGCTTGACGATCGAGAGGTTGGGCATCTCGCTCCACTTGCGCGTCTCTAGCGTCATATTCGTCAGCATCCCGGCTACGCCAGTAGTGCTTCGACGACGTACCAAAGTTGAAGAAGAAGAGGTCGTTAAAGTAGTTGCCGTCGCGCCCGTCGTAGCCGCCAAAGATGTACATGTTGTTCTCATGGACGACGCCAAGCGCGCCCGACCGCCGAGGCGGCAGCGTCCCGTTTACATCCACTTGCGACCACATGCACGACTCTACAAGCATCCGCCATCGCATGAGCTCTGGGCATCCCGCCAGAATGGCGTACCAATGTCGAACTGGAAGAGGTCTTGCTGCCTCCGCCGCCGGTCCGTGCCACCAAAGACGTACAACGTCGCGCCTGCGTGGCGTGAGCTCGCCATCATCACCGCGCCAGCATGTACCGTAGGAGACGACGGTATGGCCTGTCCGCGGGCTGTAGCCTTCGCCGAGCGTCTCGATGCGCTCCCAGCGGCGCTCGTCTACCAAGCGCGTGTGGCCATGAGACCGTGCCCGGCGCGGGCTGACGTACCGATGTACTCGGGCTCGGGTTCGAAGAGCTGCATGTCCCTCTTCCTAGGTCGACGGAAGCAAAGTGAATGGAGCGTCGGTCGCGGCCGCTTAACCTTCTTCGCCACGCGACGCCTGGAACAACTCGCCGGTTTCCCAGAACAAATCCGGATAAAGATCGCCGCCAACTTCGATTATTCTACTTCGATGCCCGTCGTGCGTCTGCGAGGGAAGCAGTGACCTGCTTTTTCACGTGCCATTCACGCCTTGTGTGCCAACGTCACCGTGTGCATCGTTTCTGCATTGGATAGCCCCGAGAATGCGACGTACGGCGCGTCCTCTCCGTCTACGGCAAAGGACTGTCCGAAGTATATTGGCAAGCACATGGAGACGGCCATTGGTGATGCACGACCTCAAAAAGATGGAATACAGGTTGTATCGAGCGCGAGCATAACCTTTGGTTATGCTGCGCGCGAACATAGCTCGTCAAACGAGATGAATTCGATCAGTTGAAGGTCGTGGCCGAAGCTGCGAACTTCGCTATCCGGATAAAGTAAACGCTCTAAGCTTCGAACTTTTGTTGGGGCGGCTGCAGTTTCGATGCTCACGGCGATGCCACGTCAGTTGCCAATGTACGACGACCATGTATGTCCGTCTACTGGTAGAATGACGTGCGAGTCGCGCCACGCCGCTCTACGGACGGCGGTCGTCGGATCGTCGTCGGCGTCGGTGGTTTCGGGCGACCTTTCGACACAGACCGCCAACGAGCCCGACCAATCTCGCCCGACCAATCTCGCCCGACACCCTGCACTAGATACAATGCTCGAGGACACGCATCCTCCTCATTAGTGACCATTGGACGATGCACGGCGGAGTGTACAGCAGCAATAATCTGGTGTGTTGGTGCAGAGACGCGGGTTCCATCACACAAAACCATGCCTTCGTCAAGACACATACATTTGCCGAGTGATTACTCGTACTATGCAATTCTTAAACCAACGCGATTCCTAGAGGTGGGGTCGTTTTAAGCCGCGGTCGGACGTCCCTTCTTCCAGGGCCCGTGCGGTATACCCTTCTCGCCGAAAGGTCGTGAGGAAATGGACCATTTCGAGGTGTCCCATGCGTGCGGCGCCGTCGATCGCTGCCGCCGTGCAGCCTTCATGCTGGTGTAAATGGAGGAATCGAACCACGTCTAAATGGTTGTGTCGCGCGGCCGCGTCCATGGCCGCCGTCGTGCAGCCTTCCATGCGATTTTCGTGCAAATAGACAACGGTCGCCATGTGCCCGTTGGCCGCCGCGCCGTCCATCGCGCGAGCCGTCACATTGCCGCTGCGATGCTGTAGCAAGAGCTGCAGCATCTCAACCGAGCCGTGGGTCGCGACCGTATCTAGTGTGTCGCGCTCGCATTCTTCGTCCGTGTCGGCAAGCAGCGCCGTCACGAGCTGCAGACGACCACGGCAGGCGACCCGGTGCAAGATTGGCTGCGTTCGGTACGGCAAAAGAAGCATGCTGAGCTCGTCCTGGCCCGCATCAATCGCGCGGAGGAGCGTTGCGTTATCACGTGGCCAGCAGGACAACGGAGCCTCGCCAAGGGAGACGAGGAGTTGAACACGCCCAGATCGCACAGCGTACTCGATGGCCTTTTCGCGGTCGGCGAAGCGGCACAGCCCCAAGAGAAAATGAACCGCACCCGTTTGCCCGGCTCGAACCGCCGCCTCCAAAGCACCCTCGGTGGGAAATCGATGCGACGCTGCCACGTCATGGAGGTCGGAATCACACGTGGGATGCCACGTGGAGTGAACGAAGTCAAGCACCTCGTTGAAGCCGGCAGCGGCCGCGTCTGCCAGTGCGCGCTCGTCGTACGCGCATGCATGTTCTTGTGACGTCACCTCGCAGTCTAGTGTCCGGACGCGACGGCCGTGTCAAGCACGGCCGGCGTTCCGTAGTCCTCTAGCAACGTCATCACGTTTAGGTGACCTCGGCACGCGATCGGATGCATACGACGTGGTAAGAAGCGCCCTGGTGAGACCACAGTTGTTCTTGTAGGCTGCCACCTCGAGCGCGCGCAGGACGTAGTGCTGCGGCACTTCTGTGCTTCGATCGAGCACCGTCGTAAGCAGCGTTGGATCCTGGATATAGCTCGCATACACCAATAGCGCACCTGCAATGTCGTCGTGCTTGAGCAGTCGGTGAACGTCTGTGGCGGCATGAGCACGTTGAAGGTACGGGATCCATGTAAAGAGACGCAAGAAAACGCCGACCGGATCGCCGTCGCATGCGAAGCCCTTCCACTCGGTCGCAAAAGTTAGCGTTGTCGCTGCGAGGCGCGGCTACGGAAACGGCGTTCGGGAAAACGCACCGGCCTGGCGCAGCAGCACGACGAGGTGCTGCGTGTCGTGGTCGTAGCCGTCTTGGTACGCCGAGATGCGGCGGAGCAACTCTGCGTCCGTGACGATGGGCCTGGCCATGCTGTCGAAAATGCAAGTGCCAATGGTGTCAATTGGTCTGCGCTAACGACGACGGTCATCGGTGTTGCAGAACGACGACCATCACTCTAGATCGTCGTTCGGTTGTTGAAACAGTGTTTGTGACACGATTTGAACCAGTGTTGGGGGCCGACGAAATGCAATTGCCGAAGTGGTCTTGATAAAGACTTCAGTTTGCAAAAGGAATAATCGAGTCGTTCGATTTCAATTGATACTACGATACCGACGCCAATGCACTACCAGCTCGTGCGCGAGAGTCATCGCGGTACGTACGCCGTACACAAACGCTGTATTACAAACACTGGATTAGAAACACTGTCTTTACAATGCCACCGATGCAAAGTCAACGGATTGCTTGCACGTCGACTGGATGCGATTCACTGTATTTCATAGATAGTCGATAGGCATAAACTTGGCAGCGAGAACGAGGGTGCTACGACGCTTCGTACTCGAACGTGAAGAGCGCTTTCCATGCGTCATCGGGCATGGCCATGTCCCGCCGGCTAATGTCGTGGAATCGCTGCTTTCGGACATGCTCGGGGCCGTCGCCGAGGTCGCGTTTGAGCACCGCGGCCTCTTCTGCCCACGTCACGGGCTTCTGATTGGACAAAAAGGACGAGATGGTCCAGACAACCCGGAGCCGCGTCCGGTTGGGGCCCACCGGTTCGAGCACATGCCTAGTCAGCAGCGACGGTGTCACTTGAATGCTACTCTCGAGGGGGAGTACCAAAACATGCGGTTGCGAAGGTAGTGGCTCTCGGGGAGGAGAGCGTCTTCGTGAATGTTGCCGGACACAAATACAATACGGTCGCTCGTGGCGTCGGCGGGGAATTCCCGCGTGAGAAGCACGTCGGTGCGCTTCTCCGAGAGCACGACCCGACGATACATCATCTTGCGTGGCGCCACGTCATCCAAAAGCTATCAGGTAGGTTTACTATGTGTTGGTGGCGTTGATAGATGTACCTCTTGGTCGAGCATTTCAATTGGGAATGCCGACGTGTCAGCGCGCAGCTTCCTCCAAATCGGCAGACGAATGCCAGCGTACACGTCTTGTATAGGCAGTTCGTATTCGTGCTGGTAGCTCCAAATAAAGTGGAAGATATCGTCGTCGCCTTCGACGACGTGGAAGCAGTTGGTGCCGCCGTTCGATGGAAAGTTGCATTGGGCAAAAAACCGGTCCGTGTTGTTGCGCAGGTGGAGCGTGTACCAGTCAAACCCCATCTTGCGAGACGTCCGGTCCGCCGACAAGCTCGTGCGACTCCAGCCGAGCGACTTTGGCAGCATTGACTACACCATGGAAGGTCAGCCGCCAGCGATGATGTGCACAACGTACCTGCACCGATGGCCGCGTCATCGACGCGACCCACTTGGTCATCGTCGCGATGATCTGATCCATCTCGTTGCGCTTGGCCTTGAGCGCACGGTTTGACGCGCTGGCTTCTTCGCGGGTCTCCGCCAGCGCCGAGCACACGTCGTCCCAGCCCAAGGGCGCTGTGAGCTTGTGGACTGTGATGATGGTCTGGAGGCGCGTCGCCTGGTCGGCGAGGTCCTCCTTGGTCGCCACTAGTCGCTTTCGGTACCGCTGGACCTTGGCCGTGTTGCGCAGCGTGCGAGTCGTCCGGGCATCGATCGCCTCGGGCATGCTGTCTGCGAATTGCACTTTCGCCAGTACCACGGGTGACCAACACTCCACCTGACTACTATCCAATACGTTCAGGATGTGAATGCGCAATCTAACGTTAGATAGGAGTGTGCCTCGATTACCGCTTGGTCTTTTGCGACGATGCATCGAGGTATAACGCACATACGTACCATCTGCTGGGTGTGTGAACTCATCGCAGCGATGAGGGGCGACCGCATCCTTTGCCATTGGCCTGACGATGCCGGTACTGCACGTCTTCCATCAACTATCGGCACATTGTATTGTCTTCCTCTATGATGCCAAAAGTGTCAATGCGATCGAAAGAGATGTTCGTGCTCCACGCACCGTGAGATGCTGAATGATGGTGGCTGCGTGGAAGCACTTTACCGGGAAGTGCAACCAACGTGAACGACTGAACGCTCACTTGTGCACTTGGATGCAGGCCGTTTCCGTCGGCTCAGCGGCACCTCTTTTTCCTATCATTCTCATAGGCTCGCGGTATGGCTCTTTATGATAACGTCACGTGCACGCATTCGTGCATTGGTTGTTGCCCATGGCCCTCCAATCCCTGTGCTTTACGTTGCCGTGTGCCTCGCTCGTGTCGAGATGCAGACGGGACCTAGTCGACCTCGATCTTTGTCCAGTCGGTGGATACTTGATTTATACCCAGGAGGTGTGGCTCAGGTGTTGCCCCTTTCTTCTCTATCCCTTTGACGTTGCCAACGGAACCCTAAAGTTGGTTCTTGGAATCTCGATTGTCTTTGGTGGTCCTCGAGAGCCCTTGGACTAGTAGCGTACAAGACAACGGAATGATTTGTGCGTGGGCCATGAACGTGTGTGACAAATATGTACATAGTGCGTCCGACAGATCAGTGCTCCAGACCGGTGATGCGGCTCACCACCTTGCTCGGTATCCATCGCGCGCGTTTGCGGTTGGCGACTCTTACCGTGCCGCAAGACGGTTTAAAAACAGTGCCTGAGCAAGCTATCCGAGCATGGATTGATCAATGTAGAAATGGATCGAGCGCTCTCAACAACAGCCGGTTGAGAACTGGAATCTGCGGAAATCAGGGAAATCAACTGTGATCTTGGTGCTGACGTCGTTGCGCAAGGCGACTACCACGGGCAGTCTAGTACGCTCGTACTTGCGCTTGGGTCGTTTACAAAGGTACCGATGGGTCTTTGACGGGTTTGCATGCCTCTTTGCTTTGTGCACATGCGCGCTCATGACGGTTCAATGTTGAAGTTGCGTGATACCGCACCGGATGACGCCGGATACGGCTCCGACAAGAATAGAAATGCCTTAAATCAAACCACGTTCCCGTGACCGCCACTAAACGTAAGATTATTATGCGCATACGAAACACAGGTATAAAAAGGCATCCAGTCCTTTCTACACGGTCACTGGACGGCGGTAACAACACGCACTGATGCCATTTGCAATTTGCAATCAACACTGCGCATGCGTCGGCCCGTCGACCCCGCCGAGCGGAAGCGCCGGAAGCGCATCTACAACCGTCAGAAGCAGCAGATCTACCGCCAGAACACGCTGGACGAGATCCGTGCGCTACAGGCGCTTGTGCCCGAGCTCGAGGCGCAGCTTCACGCGCTGCAGCAGCAGCAACCGCCCTCGACCTGCTTACCCTGGCGCGACGTGGCACTTGCGCTGCACGATGGCACGCAGACGAGCCACGCCGACAACTCAGAGCTTATAGCCAAGAAGTCGACCAACCGCACGCTTCTGCGCGCGATGGTCACGTGGGTTGCGACGCAGCGCGGTCTTGCGGTACGCCCATGCTGGAACATGGACCCTCACGCCCCTGGTGATAGGCGACACCGCGGTGTACGACGCCGTCGTGGCGCCATGTAACGCTTCTGGCGGCACCAGACGCGCGAAAACTGGGCGTCGACTGGATCACTCAGCACGTGCTGCACAACACGGACCGGATTCTCGCGCAATACGGGCTGCCAAGCACGGCCGACGTCCCTGGCGTCCTCCACCTCGAAGGCATCCAGGACGAGTGCATGCAGTATACGATCGTGGATCAGAAGACTTACCCGGCGTCGCTCTCGGCCCACGCGGCCTTTGTCCGCGCCAAGCTCGCGAGCTGGTTGCACGGCAACCTTGTTGGCCATCGCGACGCGCTCGACCTCCTCGACACCAACGTACGTCGTCATCAAATTTGTGTCATCTCATGCGGCGTTGGCAGCTCGTCCACGAAGTCGACCCGCGCCTGCTCTACATCCACAGCCAGAGCGTTGCGCAGGGCTCGAGCCATTACATGCTTTTCCGCGAGTGCCACGTCTCCGAGTCCCGCATCGTCTTCGTGGGGCAAAACATCCACGACGACGAAGCGCTGCCGAAACAAGCGCTGACTTGCAATCGCACGTTCTGGTACATTGGATACGATTGGAACGAATCTTGACCGCGCGTAGGGTCGTGCTGGACCGGTGCGACGATGGCCGCGTCACACAACGCATGGTGCTGCAGCGGTCCCAACACTATACTAAAGACGGGTTTGTGTCGCTCGATGAAGAGGCCCACCTGTGGGGCTGCGACCTTCGGCACTGCACGACCGACGACGAGAAGGCGGCGCGCTTCCAGAGTGAGCTCACGGCGCTCCAGACAAAAATGCACCGATTAGCGTGGGTGCACTTGATAGCATCGCCGTAACGTCAATATTAACATGGAACTTCGTCCCACCAACGCGCTCAAGAGCCATCGAGGTGGTCACGTCGATCGAAGGCACGTTGCGGAGGTGACCAGTTGACATCAATTGCCCATACTGATTTGTTGCCCTTGGTTGATTTAAATCGCTTTGTAGCAACTGGGTACTCCAGCTCGTTGGAATCTCGGCCGAGTATGACGAGACCTGAAAATGGTCGATTGACGCAGCTCTATGAAAGACGACTGGACGGCGATTCCAGTGTATGTACGTACATGTAGGATGCGTCGAGCGAGAAATATGTGCTTCTTGCTCTATCATCTTCAGCTCGCATCGTCGCTACCTTTGCACTGAAAACTGGGTGCGCAAAACGCGTTCATCCACATTTTGTTGTGTAATATCAGATCTGGCCCAATGACCATGATACGCTTGTACATAGCCACACGTCCTCGTCCGTGCTACGGTAAACTGCGACTGCGTCCCATACAGTATTGGTATACGACTCGGTCCTATCTTTGATGTCGCTTTCATGATGCGGCCGGTACCATGCGGCAGGAACGTTGACGAACCAAGCGCTTCTGCCGAACGTATTCACATCGTTCGGACGTCGGTGGAGTGGCAAAGTGCACCTTGTAATGCCACCATAAAAGCGGAATCATCAGACATTGCCTTTGACGGTCACGTTCGTTGTGACGTGGCGCGCGTATGACAGAGCCGACTCTAAAGTACATTTATCACATATGTCCCAAATAATGTATATGAACCTTTTGTATCTCTATTTTTACCAACAAGTATGAGCCTTCTTCAAGCATGAGACACACAGGATAATATTGCCAACGCGTACGGTAGCCGCGCGGAACATTGCGTCGAAACAGCCTGGCATTCGAAGAACCGGCCATCGACCTCCGCCTGAGCCCAACGCATGAAGAGCCTCTGCCACGCGCTCGAGCCATTCGTCATTCGCCTCGCTCTACTTCAGGCGCGATGGGCATGCTGCGTGTGCTACTGGCCTCTGTCGGGCTCGTCCATGCGGCCTCGGTCTGTGACCTCCCCGCGTTCCAGGCCATGCCGCTGGCGACGCTTGGCACGGGCCCGCTTACGATGAAGGCCATCACAAACGGCACGGACTCGTGCTTCCAGGTGAGCGTGCCCGCCTCGGCGTCCGTGGCGTGGGCCTCGATCGCCATTGCATCCAGCCCAAAGATGGTCACTTCGCCGATCGGCAACGTTGTCATATACGATGCGAACGCCCAGGCGCCGCAGCTCTACGAGATGCTGAGCTACAAGAAGGCTGGTACCGTCCTCGCTGCCGACCAGTCGCCGGTCGTCGCCAAAGCCGCGTCGGTCGTCAACGGTGCCATGACATTTACCTTCGAGCGCTCGAACGGTGTCAAAATCGCGTCGGACGTGGCGATTGTCCCGGATGCGTACAGCACCATCAACTACGCGTACGGCTTGACCAAGTGGCCGTCCATGCACGAAGGCCGCGGGTCGGCGCAAGTCGCTATTAAAGCTGCAGCGGCCTCGGTCTGCGACTCACCGGCGTTTGCCGCGGCGCCGCTTGCGACGTTAGGCAGCGGTCCAATGCAGATCAAGGCGCTGACCGACGGCAGTGACGCGTGCTTCCAAGTGAGCATGCCTGCGAGCTCGTCCGCGTCGTGGATTGCGATCGCAGTCGCTTCGTCGAGCGCGATGGTCACGTCGCCGATTGGCAACACCGTCATCTACGACAGCACGGCGAAAGCACCGCAGCTCTACGAGATGCTGAGCTACAAGAAGGCAGGCACCGTGCTCGCGACGGACCAGTCGCCGCTCTCGGTCGTCTCGGCGTCGGCGGTCAACGGCGCGCTCACGTACACGTTCCTCCGATCCAACGCCGTCAAGATTGCCTCGGACGTGGCCGTGCGTCCAGATGCATACAACATTATCAACTGGGCGTACGGCACGTCGCAGTGGCCGTCGATGCATCAAGGCCGAGGCTCGGCCAACGTCGTGATCAAGTCAATCGCGGCGTCCAACGCGGGTGGCAACTCGCTGCCGCCGATCGACAATGCGTCCGAGTCATTGCGCGTCATTACGTACACGGACGTGATCACGGCGGCCACGTTCATGGTGATGCTCCTCCTCGGGATTATCGTGACCCACGTCGGGCGGTGGCACATTCTCAACCACAGCGCCGTGTGCGCGCCACCGACGACCGGGTATTGCATGCGCTTTCGGTCGACCTTGGCCGACCTCAAGCTCGGCGAGTGCATCGTGCTGATCGTGTACCTCCTGGCGCTCTGCGTCGTCTCGTTCTCGGTGCACGTCAAGTTCGCGAACGCGCAGCCCGGCCAGAGCCTCGTGCTGGTCACGGGCCATCTCGGGCTCGTGAACCTCATGCTCATTCTGCTGCCCGTCGCGCGCGGCCAGCACTGGGAGATCCTCTTTGGCATCTCGCACGAGCGCATCCTCAAGTTTCACAAAGGGCTCGGCCGGTCCTTTGTGCTCTTGTGTGCACTGCACTTCGCACTGAGCTTGAACCAAGGCGGGAGTGCGACGTACGCTGCGCCGTACGGGACGCAGGAAGCGATTCCACTCTACGGCTTTGTGTCGTTTCTGGCCTTTGCGTCCATGGGCCTCTTGGCGTTTGAGTCGCTTCGGCGCAAGTACTATGAAGTGTTTTACTGGCACCACCGCGCGTCGGCGGTCGTGGGGCTTGTCTTCGCCGTGCTGCACGCGCCTTCGATTCTGATCGCGATGCTGTTTCCCCTTGCCGTCTACGCCCTCAACAGCCTTTGGCGCTTCGCCGCGTACTTTCATTCGCACGCTGCGACGCTCGAGACTTACAGCGACGGCACGACTCTGATCACTCTCGCGTCGACGCTGAAAACGACCAAGTACGCGCAGACAATGAACCCGTGCGCGTTCTTTTACATCAACATTCCGACGATTTCCGGCGTCCAGTGGCATCCGTTCTCGGCGATCGCGACGCCGGATGGCAACTCGATTGGCTTTTGCGTCAAGGCGCTCTCCAAAGGATCGTTTGTCGACTCGGTGCATGTCCGAGCGCGCGGCGCGCTGGAGGTCGACCCGGCACTGGCTCATCTTCGCGTCCGCGTCGAAGGGCCGTACGGGAAGGCGTCGGTGCTCCTGCATCAGTACGATGTGGTCGTCTTGGTCGCGGGCGGGATAGGCGTCACGCCGATGCTCAACATCCTCAACCAAGACCGGCACAAGCGCTCGAGCAAGGCGACGCAGCGCATGGTGCTGCACTGGATCGTCCGCGAGCCGCACCAGCTCCTCTGTGCGGACCCGCTCATGTACCCGCTGCCGTCGCATGTCGAGTCCCACTTGGTCGTGACGTCGGCGACGGCGAGCGGCGGCATCCTCAACATGGCGGGCGAGTCGGTGGCCTACAGCAGCGAGAAACCGCGCATGGACGAGATCATCAACCGCGAACGCTACAGCCGCCGACGCGTGTGTGTACTCGCGTGCGGCCCGATCGGGTTGGTCAAGGACGCACAGATCCAAGCCGACGCGTGTGGGTTCGATTTCCACAAGGAAGTGTTTTGTTTTAAGTTATTCGCAAAATATCACATAATGAAATATGTACACATGGACAATTCGCTGTCAATGTTGATGTCATCGCTCCACCACGTCCTACACGAATAGTGTGTCCCTCGACACACTATACGGCCCCGCGAGAACACGCAACGAGTCAGGAGGCAGGGACCGGTCGCATGTCTGAGATGATTCAAGAAGAGGGAAGAAGAAAGAAGACGGCAATAATATCAAGGATGAACCGGCACCATCGTTCGCTTGGTCAACAATTTGAATTGCGCAGAAGCGCACCATCATTCCACACGTGGTCTGGCAGCACCAGTTTCTGCAACGTCGCGGGATGTGGTACCATCTGCCGAACGAGACCATCCAGCCAACCCTACCCACACCCATCGCCAAGTCGTCGGTTACCTTTCAAGCACACGTTCCTCGGGCGGACGGCCTGCAACCCATCATGATATCATTCCATCATGTTCGTGCAGTGTACAACGGCAGAGCAAAATCGGACGTGGCGTCATCGTTCGACGAGGATGTGCGGAACTGGTGTCGGTGGTACAGACATCTGTTTGTTGACGGTCGAGAGCTCTGGACCGTACATGCAAACTGCCTCGATCGGTCGAATCGAAACGAATGAGCCGTGCATTTTGACTTTGGCAGCATGATTGGTGCAGTGCTTGTCGCGCTGACCCTTATCCACAGCGTCTACGCCGACGACGTCGATTGCACGTCGCCGGCCTTTCTCGCCGCGCCGCTCGTGCCGTTGGACGCGTCTCTCTCCCTGCGCAGCCTCGTGGTCGATAGCGCGAGCGTCTGCATTCAGCTCATCTTGAAGGCGCCGGCGGCATCATGGGTCTCGGTCGCACTCTCGTCGTCGCCGTCGATGGTCACGTCGCCGTTCACACGCGCGGTGGTCTTTGACGCAAGCTTTGCGACGCCCAAAGTGTTTGCGATGCAAGGGTACGCACCGAGCCAAATGGTCGCAGCACCGACACCGTCGATCTCGCTGCTGAGTGCGTCGTCCACCAACGATGGGCTCTCGCTGACGTTCCGACGTCCGCTCGTCTTTTCGTACCAAGGTGACGTCGCGATCCACGTCGACAATGAGAACGCCAACATCCTCAACTGGGCGTACGCGTCGTCTCCATGGCCGGCGATCCATAGCGCAAGGGGGTCTGCGACAATCAAATTTACGACAAAAAACGATGCGCCGAGTAGCATTGCAACCACCGAGTCGGCTCTGCGGTTGACGCCCGATACGACGGTCGTCACGGTCGCGTCCGTCATCTCGATGATCATGCTCGGGCTCATTGCGACGCATTTTGGCACGTGGCGCTGGGTGAACCATCGGGGCTTGCTGCCGCCGCCTCGGCGCCTCTCGACGCTGACCACGCTATTGATGCCGCTCGTGGACTTGAAGGTGGGCGAGGGCATCATTGTGCTCATCTACTTGGCGTGCCTCGTGCTCGTCTCGACGTCGGTGCACGCCAACTTTACCGACGCGCCGTCGCTTCGTCGATGGAGCCTCGCGTCCGGCCACCTCTGTCTCGTGCACATCATGCTGCTGCTGCTCCCGGTCGCCCGCGGACAGCACTGGGAAGTGTTTTTTGGCATTTCCCACGAGCGTATTCTCAAGTTTCACCGGTGGCTCGGCCGGCTCAGCATCGGTTTTGGCCTCTGGCATCTCGTCGCATCGGCACAGAACGGTGCGTCCATCACGGCGACTGGTCCGTTCGGCTCGCAGCAAGTGTCACCCGTGTATGGGTTTGGTGCCCTCGTCGTGTTTTCAACGCTGGGTCTCTCGGCGATGGTGCGTCGCCGGTTCTACGCGCTCTTTTACTACTACCACCGTCTCGCGTCCGTCGTTGGCTTGGTGCTCTTGCTATTGCATGCGACTGCCGTGCGCTACGCGCTCATCTTTCCCCTTGGCATCTACCTCTTGAGCGGCCTCGGGCGCCTGCGCGGCTTGTACCTCAACAAGTTCCATGCGTCGATCCACGTGCATGGGCACAACACGGTCACGTTTGAGCTCCCGACCACCGAGACGACGCGCGCGTGGGCTGACCGCCTCCATACCGGTGCCTTCTTTTACGTCAACATCCCAAGCATCTCAGCCGTCGCGTGGCATCCGTTCTCAGCGATCGTGACGCCGGACGGCGACTCGATTGGCTTTTGCATGAAGTCGTTTACGAAAGGCCGGTTCGTCGACGCGGTCTGGGTTCGCGCGCACCAAACGCTCCAAGACAATGCGTTCTTCGTCCTCGACAGCCAGCAGTCGGCACCGTCGATGCTTGTTCGCGTCGAGGGCCCGTACGGCCGCGCCAGCGTCAACGTCGACAAGTACGACGCCGCCGTCCTCATCTGTGGCGGCAGCGGCATCACGCCGATGCTGAGCCTCATC